GAAATCGACAGTTGAAAAAAGAGGTAGCGTGTACTCTCTGTTTTTTCTTGGCACTTGAAGTAAATGATTGTTCGAAGCGGTGGGAAAGCTGCCATTTAAGTAGACGCCTATTTCAACATGAATATGCAAGACTTAGTTACCAACGATATAAATGTTGCCTTACTGTCTACTAATCGATGGTTAAGTTGCGTGACCATGACAACTTAGCGCCATCGATCAACTTCAGTCCACGTCAGCACAGCATATCCGTTAATGATATTACAGTATTTTTATGTTTCGATCGCGTTGCAAGCGTACGGTCCGATTTATAATTAGATTTGCGTTGTACAGGATATGCATAAATATAACAACCTTATGCTAGGACACCCACCTTACCACGTGGCCCACGATGCTCGTAGCAATTCACAGGGATGTTTTAGGTCTAGCCTTGCAGGAACAAGGTAAACCGAATTCAGGTGAAAGCCTATAGGTGATATTTTCAACTTGTAGCATAGTTTTTTAAGGCTTTTCCAAAAAAGCTTTGACCTTCCACCCAGCTTCTCCACAGATGTCTTCGGACGGAATAGCAAACTTCTTTTCCTAGACTCTTTTTCAGCCTATAATGAATTGTGGAATGACAAGCAACCTTGAAGCTAAGAAATTATCCAAACTTTTTCGATCCCCTTAGACAAAATATTGCTTTTATTTGGAACTTTGCCAACCAAAAAAGGGTCCGTAGTTGGCTGTAGCCCCCTTTTGATTCTGTATTTTAAAAATTGAAACTTGATTTTACTGCAGATTAAACTTACTGTTATATTTGTTTGTGTTACATACCAAAGTCTCCTTCTCTCACTCGATCGTTTTTGTCTTTGTAATTTTATGTACACAAATATACTTGTGTATATATATCTGACCGTATATTTGCTCCACCTCATTTATTAGGGTGTAAAAAGTTTGAAGCAACACAAGGCGAAATCGTAAAACACGGGTGAAGCTTAACTACTTCATTTTTTTCGTTTAGATGGATCATATGAATTATGCCATTCGTTCACTGCTTCAAAGGTCTGTACATCTGCTACCGTATCTGATGCGGTCGCTGATGTACTCACGATTAGGTGAGTAGTGTGCGTCTAGGTATATTTCTAAAATTTTTCGTCAAGACATCAGCATACGTTATCAACAATTACTATTTTTATTATCCGCGAGAGGTGCCGGTTGACTAATTGAGCTGAATTTCGTCCTTATCGCCGTCCCATAATGTAAAGGTTAAGGCTCATACTTGAATAAATAAATAATCGCGTGGCCTGTTTTATCGGAGGCACCGAAATACTTTGTCGTCAACAGCCAACTAGTCGGCACTTCCACGGTCGTTTTAATAACACGAGGTAAATTTGCGTTGGTCTCGTAAGTTGACCGCCCAGTCGCAACTTCTTAAACTACCATACAACATAAACTGGAACAGGTGCACGATATGATGTCGTGTATCAGAAGTATCTTCTTCGCCGTCGACTTATACAGCGGTAGTATTTAATGTTCATACTCAATCCTACTTAGATGGTCAGGCGGTATAAGTTCTAATATATACATAGCACTGGCTGAATAGCTGCTTCCGTAAACCCGCTAGGCCTGACGGCACGGGATCGATCGCATCGCGTTGTTTTGGGTTTCGATTACGCTGCTGACCTATTCCGTCCCAAACAGTCGCTCATAGATGGGTTCGGGTCGCGTCTATTCATTATGTTCACGGTGTGAATATCTGTAATATATATATATAGGTACACACCGAAAGCGAATGTACACAGACGTTCGGACGCTGGTGGGTTTCGGAGCGACTGATTACAGCTCTTTCCCAGAGCACCATTGGGTTCCGTCGATGACCATAAGCCCGGATTAGATTGAACGTATATGTAGTATATAAACAATGGATGGCCTACAGTCTTACCCCCCTCGGTCCGCGCGAATCTAATGCATCTTCTGGAGGGTAAGTTGTGCCTAGGTTCTTTGCCGTCAGCCGCATTCTATAGGTGATGCGAATGCTTCTACCGGATCGCCCGATTGCGTCGAGTTCAACGGTTCCTTTAGGAAACATAGCACAATATTATTCGCGCCATCCATAGTCGGCGGAATAGCTTATTCGGTTAAGTTTCTAGCTGCGGACAGTCACTGCCTCGGACCCCGCCAAGGACATATATTAGAGGAGAAGCTTGATTAGACAACAAAAAATAAATATAAGAACACCCTACTGGAAAGCAGCTGTTACGGGACTTCATTGTATCCTGCTTGACTCGTGCTTATCTTTTTTTGAGGACTGGCTATAAAATTGTGCCCTCTTTTTCAGTGGCCTCGTCCTCTGCAACAATAAGAATAAGAAGTAATTCTATAAAATAGATACTGCGCGAGTCGTAATGACTGATTGCCAACGTGAAAAAAACTTGTAATTTCAGCTGCTTAATATAAATTCGTATCTTTTTTTGCATATATAATTTGTCGGCCAGTCATTTTAATAATAGGCATATATTTATCTAATTATCTATACGTATATATAATCTTTTTCCAGTTCAATTTTAACTCATTATCACAATCTCAGTGTTAAAATCTATCGACGGAACGGCTGCTGATCCCGACAAACTTCATGGTTATACAATGCAAGCGGTATACATATATATATATATATATTAAAATAATATAAACAATGCTAGGGGTATTTTAGAGTTGATGAATGAATTCAGTACCGTAGTAGGAAAGGTAAAGGATCGAATGGAACTATCTGTCAGATGGATGCAAGACGAACGCGGAAGAGAAAAGTTCAGATCACCACAGAAATGATCAGACCAAGCCATTACATAACGAGATATTAACTATAGTTTGTCCGTCCGTAGGCATCACTTTACAGTAGCTGTTTGCGCACGCACCTGCAGACGGCCTTTTCTAAAACGTGGCTGTAATTACTTGAAACCTATTGATTTAGTTCGAAATTATCCTTCATTGCAGGGCGATGTTTCTATTTTTCAACCCATCTTGCAACCTGACCCACTAACATAAGACCAGCTTTCTGAGCATATTTACAGGTGTAGAGTTCTGCAGTGACAAGTCGAGTAAAAATCAGGCGAGTTCATCATCAGTATGAAAAAAAACTATATACGCATATTGTAATTACTAAAAATTAAAATATTATTTCATTTTCTGATCAGGCTGCTCTCGATTGATCCTTAGTTAGTTTTACCATTGGTACCGGTACCTTCAAAAAATTCACATCTCATACTACCTGCTGCTGATGAATATAGTTCATGCTCGTGCCCCTACAAGCCGTTTTTTGTGTAACCGCTGTGGGCTGGTTTCTACGCCGTCGCCATCATTTTGTCCTTTAGCAGTGACTAATGTCAGCTTTGCGTATTCGAGACGCCCTATGCTACGTTCGTCTATGGATGAGTGTGTCTGTCGCACTGCTTGATTCCACCGCAGCCATCGACGTTCTAGAGCGTTTCGAGCTAAGAAGTACTCCATACTCGATGTGATGCTCGGAAGCGGTAGACGAATTCTGTAAACGTTGTCATATCAGCGTACAGGGAATAAATCAGGTGAACCTGGCTAGTTGACTATGGAACAGATTCATGTTACTCTTGACTCATACGGATAATTCGAAGAAGGACCTGTATATGGCCTATAAAAGAACTGCAACAGATCCTTTGTGAAGAAGCCCAAAATGTACTTTGTCTTATTTATGTAATTTAGCATACAGGTAGGCTTTTTGCTTTCTCGCTTGTAGATCTGTTAATCTAATTAATTGTATACTTTTGTCAATTGTAGCTTATGAGGTGGGCCTATGGTAAAGATAGATAACGTGATAGCTATTATGCACGATCTTCTGATACGACGATGGCTGCCGTCGAATAAAAACAAAAACTCGTTTTGCAAATGAAATGCGAGCGTTGTTGAACAAAGAAGATGAAAATGGCGAAATTCTCGAGCGAATAGGACTCGCTTTACTTCGCTGTTGACGACATCCAGGTAAGGCCTCGTTGGACCGCAAACACGGGCAACCGTTCAAGCTTAAAGCAAGTCAGTTATGCGGCTTGTTCTATCTTTACTGGAAAAAACCCAACAGATATGGCAAGAGTTTTCTCAATAGGTGCCTGAGACCGTAGTACACAGGCGGGTTTCGGGCATCGAGAGGCTTAAGGACAATCTTGACAGGAGGAAGTCGGCCGCTGGTTTTATTTTAAAATGACTTCGATAAATTGTTGTTGTTGTTGTTGTTGTTGACGAGCAACAAGCAGCAGAAACGTATCTACTACATAACAGTACGTTCTCATCTGAGAAAGACTATTTCATAATCTAGCATAGGCTTTGCTAATTCCGCATCATCGAAATTCACTATAAGAACGCAAGGCAATACAATAACTATTGGTTTGGTTTTTGAATTTTCCCATACAATCAGTTACACAACAGAGAGAATTATGCAAAAACTTCGATTTCCGTTTCGCGTTCGTCCAATATCAGCTGTTTTATCCGCTAATTACAACGCTGACATACGTGACACTTGGACGAACTATTGCCATGTCATCAATAGTCGCGTGTCCAACTCTGCAGTACAGGATGCCGATATCGTACCGACCCTTATCCACTCAACGTCTATCGTGAACGGTTACGATATACACTCCGGGTGTTCAGCGAACTCGCTATGTTATCATCGACGCTTCTCGGGATTTTTTTTCTCCTATCACCGTTATCTCTTCTTTCCTGCATTATTCTATCCACATCTTCATCCGCCGGTCCTTGCCTTTCCTTCTCACCCATGATGACTAAACGCCGACGACAACTGCGTGCTCTCTATAGCTGCACAGGCACGATGTTTTGGGGCGCCTCGACTAACTCCAACTCCTCCCCCCTCCCCCCCCCCTGGTGCGTTGTTGTCGTCTGCGTTAATATCGCACGATCCTATCGACGAAAGTTACCGCTGCGTCATCTCTACCATAGCTATAAAACGGTAGTCGGGAGGCTCCTCTCTCCCATTCGCTTTCTGTCTATTTGTGTGTTGAGACGTCTGCATTCTACCAGAGGCAAAGACGGCTTACTCTACGAGCGCAGGGGAACTGGATCATCTAGTCGACTCGTGTTTGTGCGATACTTTGCGACCACAAGTTCAGCCATCTTCACCACGAAATTGTCGCTTTACCTAAACGAGGTGTCAAAGTTCAACTGGATTGTATCGTTAGTAGAAGAATAGGTGAGGAAGATACCTGTGTTCGCATAGACAGAAGCGGCTGTGAAGCCAACAACTTTAAAAACTGAGGCTGACGTACTTCGTCTGGTAGTATTCAGTGCTGAACCTGTCGTTCCGCATTGTTAACCGGTCTCCGCGTCATCTGATCTGAGTTTCGTTCGATGGGCGCATTCTGGAGTCCCAACGTTAGGTCACTTTCCTCAAGTAGCGTAACGCCATTATCTCCGTAGTACGGTGCGGTCCAGCCCCGTCTCCGCATATTACCAGCAAATAATTTCCGTTATTGCGGATCAACACACATAGGCGACCGGCTTTTCTTCTCGTTATTCGAGCCTGCGCCAAGCCATCGCAGCCCAGCGTGTCCGGCATAGAGTAAAGATTATCCGTGCGGAGAAACGACAACAGCAGCAGTAGTAACAGCCGCCACCGCCGCTGCTGCTGCAGTATCAACCACTCCTCTCCAACGTTGATTCGTTGACTCCTCAGAACGAGAGAGAAGGAAGCCCGAGTCATGAAGTTCGCCCGCGCCGGCAGCGAACGCTGTTCCGTCAGTGGCGTCAGCAACCGCTGTTGTGGCGTTATTTGTGCGAGGAAAGTGCGCGACGCGACGTCGGCCGAGCCGCCGACGGGATCTGTGCGAGGCCCGGCCACACGCCGGGCCTCAGCCTACTGCTGCAGGCCCTTGACTCTGTTTGCCCTGCTGGGCCTTGTGGGATTTGCGCAGGCTCACCAGTACAGCCTGGGGGCATGTCCGCCGGAAGTGCCGTTCAAGAAGTCGTTTGACGTCGACCGGGTAAGTACATACACATGCTGAATATACACGATTATAGTGCAAAGCATGTTATTGTAAAAAGAGAAGGACAACAACAGCGATGACAGCAGCGCCACTTCACGCAGGATTTGTGTCTTATATTAGCTAATATGACTATAATGTGAATGTGTACTTGTGAGGCCAGTGTTCGTGTCCGAACGACGCCCGAAGCGACGGATAATCAGCTTGGCAGAGGTCATCTTTTAGGCAAGCTTTCAAAAGTCTACTTTTCCGCGTCTGAGCCCTCTTAGATAGATGCCCCACGAGGTTAATCTAGAATTGACTGACCATAAAATAAAGCTCAATTCATTTGTTGTGTTGTAAAGTTGGGATATTTTGCTGGGCGTGCCTAAGCATGCATGTACATGCACGTCTGTGAGCTGATTTGAAATCAACTAAGATTGTCCTCGTAAAGGCGCGGAAGTTTTTACAATAATACTGCATTTCCGGGGTTTGTGGCAGCGAGTCAAGGTTTCAGGGCAACCAACGAGAAAAGTTACTGAGTTAGTCTTTTACAAATGTCATGTTGTAACACTGTGCTTAGGCCATCTCTATTTCCTATAATAAACGTATGACAATGTCTCTACAAACAAATGTCGTCTACCTACTACGATGGATACTATTATGTCAGATTCGGTCATCCGTTAACAATTTCTTAGCCTAGCTCGAAAAATGGGTAAATACAACGGGCAGCGGGTTCAGGAGGGTTGCTAGGGAGCCGCCGGCCTTGACGATGAGCCTAGTCTAAAATGATTCACTTGATGTAACAAAGCAATAGTTAAAGGAGTTGCTAACGAAAGGAAGGTATAGTGAACTTGCTTTCTAGATTGCTTTTGTTTTTTTTTTTAAGCTGATGTGGTAAAAATACAGCGAGTTGTCTTTTTACGTTAGTCATTTTCTATCACTAACGCTGCATTTAGACTCGCGTGACGCACCATATCACCTTGTCGTACGATATGTAGAAAGAGACGCACCTAACAACTAGGATACTCTTTCCGCTGCACGAGTTCATAATGGGGGTCAAACGTGACTATTTACGAATCCATAGGAGTGTTGAAATGTCTACAAGGATAGCGAGCCAATACGAAACCTGTTAGAGATAAAAAGAACGCTTTTTTTGTACAGATTGCGCGCGTGCTATCATAGGCAGAGATGAACAAATTCATCTTTGTGAGAAATCCCAAATATTGATTAGAGTATCATTAACTCTCCTCGTGTTCTTTTTTTTTCTGCTTTTGTCTTTTCTGTGCGACCCAACGAGCTTAATGCACCATTTGGTAAAGGTACTAATATTTTTGTTAGAATCTACTCTCTCAAGCTATAACGTCATTAATTTCTATTTGTTACTTCATGATAAAGACTAGTTATTTCAATGAAGCAATATAAATGAAGCTCTCGACCGAGAACATGCATTCGTTCACGAACCGCAGGGTTAGCGATGGCGAAAATTTCTTCGTACAACCGTAATTCACACAAATGAAATCTATATAACCTAACGTATAAACGGATATTTAGACGAATCGACCGTCGTGATTATAACACACACAAACATGATTACGTAAGATGACTTTGTGGTCAGTCGAAGTCTGCCCAAAGATCCTCTACTCTCCTGCCAGTCTATCGCTGTTTGGTCTTTTAACGCCGCTGTAAGATAGTGATATTGGTGTTTTTAGTGGCAGCAGCCAGTAATCATATCTCATCTTCAGCTGTTCTGAGCCGACGAAAAGAAAAAATCGAAAAGTAGATGGGGGTCGTTATGCCTCATCATCGTCGTCGTCATAACCATCATCGCCATCTCCATAATAGTAATAGTTCGCCAGTCCCGTAATCCCTTTTAGCGTCTGTCGACTGTCTGTCTAAAACAAGTTCGTTGTAGTGGGCAGACCCCCGTTTCGGTCCCGTAAGCCTTCTGTTCTGTGTTCCGTCTATTTGGTGCATGATTGAGTTTTGGCTACGCTGACTTGTGCGTTGGCTGTGTATCGAGTAATCAACCGGCATTAGCGGGCTGGATCGGTTTCGCCGTGCAAGACCGTCCCAAACACTCCTATTACAACTGCCAATACTCCGTACGTTCCCGCTTTCTTAAGCGTAGCGACTTTATCGCTGACCAATCAGATGACTCTGTTATGATGGTTAAAATTTCTAAACTAAAAAAAAGTTTTTTTTTTTTTTGTTAACGAATATAATGCTCTATTCATTCGAATGACAGCGGCACACTCATGCACACAGAGACACAAACACACACGCAGGCACGCGCACGCGCACGCGCACGCGCATAGGTTAGTTTGGCGCCTATTCGGAGTTGTTTCAAGTTCGACTAGACCTTTGACATAACTTGCTAGTTCCTTGTATGCCTTTTTCTACCGTATTAGCATCAGCCAAAGCAACGTCGTCGCGATGACCATCGCTGACATTGTTATTCAACGCGTAGCCGCTGGCCTGCCAAACGGCTCGACCAGAAAGTTCTAAATGTACAAATATATCTCCCCCATGACTCAGAACGAGGTCGAGTCTCTATTCATCAGAAGCGACGCTGAAAACATCAAGCGCTCAGCTGCATCTTCAAAGTCGAGCTACTACTCTGGGGTACGCTCTTGCGATAATTCTCGATGATCTGCCTCTTAAGGAGAGAACGAATCTTTAGTGTGATCGTTAGCCAGTTACCATTCTAGGTAGCGATGAGCAGCGAGTTAGTTATCTTATTTTTTTTTTTAGTGCACCTTAACTGCCTGTGTCCTCAGTCCTGAGCAGCGAGAAAGGTTCCAGTGCGCGCCCTTTCCTACCAATAGCCGCTTCGCCCAATCCGGCGCTATTTCTATTCTTTATTCGTTCAGTTTTTCTGAGCGGATACGCGCTGCGTGGTGTTGTACAAGTTTGTTTTTATGATGCCACAGCCACTGCCGTTATCGCTGCTGGGGAAGAAGTTTCCTACAACGGAAAACTAGTGCTATTACTTCTCCTGCAGACGCAAACTGCGAACAACGCCTTGATGGCCGCGGTTGCCGGGTAACGCGATGTCATCTTTCGCACGCTTTATGATGCAACGGTGTAGTCTTGTTTGGCTGGGTGCATCTGTCTATGCTATGTGTACCTGTCTGTGTACATGCTGGCAAGTGGATATGATGAGCGTCTTTGGATGATCGCACAAAAGTCGGCTTAACCTTGACAGAAGGAAAGTTGAACTTGCGTTTCCGTCGACGCACACGTCGCGTTCGACCAAACTTGCCAGCCATTATGAGACGACAGTAACGAGTTATCTAGCTGCCGCTTGGTCGGTTTGCTTTCGAGGAAGCTACGATAACTGTCCAATGGAAACAGCATGGATACTGCCAAAACATGTCTTTCAGTTCCCTCTATAGCGTTTTAATAGCTTTATTTGTATCTATAGTTTGGACGCTTTCATGGACGTTTCCGAAGATCTCTCGAAATTGACCGTATAGGTTGGAGGTTAGATTATGCGTTGCGACCGCTTATCGGCATTACGAGTTAGCGCGGCCTAACTCTTGCCGTTCTCCCTGTCTAGCTAGGGTTATAAGCGTATTTAGGTGAGTCATTACGACTTAGAGTGCAGGCCAAATATGGGCGATGACTATTGACGGCCCGTCAACGCCGCGTGAATTGGTGTATGTTCTCGGAGCGTATACGCGCAGAGCACGGTATCAACTGATCCGCCACGAACGTCTCAAGCAATATCGAAGTGGTAGTCACATTCACAGTCATCGTGGTATATTTCTATTGTACGACTTTTAAAATAACAGCACTCGATCTCTGTGCGGGTTCTGGTTGCGTGCTTGTTGTTGTTAGTTATGCCTTACGATAAGCCAGATGGCTATGCGCTGACTAGACGTCTGTGTACAGCCATCCGGCCAAATGTCAGAGCAGCAAAACCCCACTTGACTCATCACTATGGCAACTTATCCGATCCACGGCAGCCGTCGCCAGAAATGGCAAAGCGTATCCGCGGATCAGAGAGAGGGTGTCGCTGCAGCCAGCAGAAGTGGCAGTAACGTCCACGAAGACGATTGATTGAGGAATCAAAAATAAATTGATGAAGAGCCAGTTGTTGTTACCGAAGCCTTAGCGGCCCCTGCTACGTGGCTAGCACATATAATGGACACAACTATACACATGCACATCGCACTCATGTCGAACCGTAATCAAAACAAAACCTGTTAGCTGGGGCTCTCGATCGACGAGAAGAAACCAGTCGTAGCAGCGTCAATATGCCGCTGATCCTGATGCCGTTGGATTCAGAGCTGGCAATCGTAGCTATAGTAGCAGTCACGGCAGCTTTTGCAGATATAGCAGAGTTAGCAGCGGCAATAGAACCAGAAGATTACGAGGTTTATTGCAAGAAACCGAAAAGATCAGGAGTTTTTCGTAGCGGTTGTAGCGGCAACGGCGGCGGCGGCGGCGGCGGCGGCGTTCCGTTCGTCGAGCCGCGGGGTATAGCAGCAAAGGAGCAAAAATAATAAAATAAAAAATCTACGGACGAACCAACGAAACAACCAATAAACGCTAAATTGAACGGACTTCGGCGTAGCTCGGTTCAGGTGCCGTTCTGCTGCCATTCGTTAAAGAAGTCGAAGGTGAAGAAGACGATAGGGAACGGACGAAACATCGAAAAGCGTCGTCAACGACAACGTGTTAAGATAATACAGAAGCGAAGCTCCTGTCGCGCCGCCGCCGCCGCCGCCGCCGTTTGCCATCGTATTGGCCCGGTCAAACGGAGTGAAATCAACGAGAATGAGCATATATATTTCTATCAGTCTATAATGTATATAACGCAGGCACATATACATAGTAAACTCCATAATCTTCAGCAGACCCGATGTCACTATCCAAAGCGAGGTACGAACTGGATAAAAAGACTAAACGCAATCGAAGATGGGTGGCAGAGTCGTCGAAGCGAGATGTGGAAGGCGTACGCAATAGCCCATTGCAGAATGGAGAATAAGAGAGAATTGATATAATCACACAGG